AACACCTCAAAGCTAGTAAAACCATCAAAATCCAATCCCAACACGCATCAAATGTGTGTCTAAATACGGACTTATCAGTACACTTTACAGATTTTGCGTCTAGCTTGCTTCAGTCAATGGAACTAATATGAATGTAAGCAACACAACTAAATATGCGGAGATAGGACAAATTGACCTCCTTACCCGTCCATCTTTCTTCAGGTATGTCATTATCCAACGAGATCGTTGGACTTATGTTGATGAGAAAAGCCGAGGTGTTCACTGCATCCGCGCAAAACATCTTCGGTAAGCCACTCTTCAACCTCATGCATCTAGCCCGCTCATTCAGTGTTCTGTTCATGCATTCAGCAACGCCATTATGCTGCGGAGTCCCCCTTGTTATTTTCTCCATACGAACCCCATTTTCAACACAAAACTTCTTGAACTCATGCAGTTCATACTCACCTCCATTGTCAGACCGAAGACACTTCAATTTCAGACCTGTCTCTGTCTCAACAAGAGCTTTCCATGTAACACTTGAGATTTAATATAAACGGATTGATAGTACTACTCATACCAACAAGATGCATCTCCTTTTAAGGGAGCTCATCCGCTATGAACTCCAAAGTTAAGCGTGCTTGCACAGGAGTAGTCTTGGGATGGGTGACCCCCTGGGAAGTTTCTCAGGGCGCTCACGAGTGAGGACAAAGTGCGCGTAAAAGGCTAGTGGCGGTTTGTGAGGACAGTACTAGAGGTCTGGAGTAACTACCTCGGGTCCTGCGGGGCCGGGGTGTTACAGGTGGTATCAGAGCAACCCCGCGATAGTGTGATGACCTGTTGGATATCGGGCGGGCACTTAGCGGGGGGAAATTCTGGGACTTGATTGAGATTTGAGATTGGTTTATGGGCGCAACGAGGACGTTGCGATCCTAAGTGGGGGTGATTGTAACACTTGAGATTTAATATAAACGGATTGATAGTACTACTCATACCAACAAGATGCATCTCCTTTTAAGGGAGCTCATCCGCTAAGAACTCCAAAGTTAAGCGTGCTTGCACGGGAGTAGTCTTGGGATGGGTGACCCCCTGGGAAGTTTCTCAGGGCGCTCACGAGTGAGGACAAAGTGCGCGTAAAAGGCTAGTGGCGGTTTGTGAGGACAGTACTAGAGGTCTGGAGTAACTACCTCGGGTCCTGCGGGGCCGGGGTGTTACATTTCACCTCCTAAAAGCATCAAAGGCATCAGATTTATTTTTGAGAAAATAAACCCATACCTTTCTTGTGGCATCATCAATAAAGGTCATGTACTAGGCGGATCCTCCCAAGGATGTAACTTCTGCAGGTCCCCAAAAGTCAGTGTGAACTAGTTCCATCTTCTCCGGTTTAATAGCTCGTCTTCCCTTCGAGAAACTGACACGTTTCTGTTTCCCGAATATGCAGTCCTCGCATAAGCCAACCTCAACAGTCTTCAGGCTGGGCAGTTTGCCCTTCGAGCACAACTCCTTCATCCCCTTTTCGCTCATGTGACCGAGACGACAATGCCACAAATCCACATTATATTGTTTATTGCAGTAAAAGCAACATCGATGCAGTCCTTCGAGTTCGTTGTCATGTACAACGTACCCTCCTTTTTTCCTTTAGCAATCAGCAAAGCCCCCTTTGTGATCTTCCAATTTCTGTTGCCGAATCTAACTGCATAGCCTTCCTCATCCAGCTGCCCAATTGAAAGTTGATTTCTTCTCAATCCAGGAATATGTTGGACACCATTCAGTTTCAGCATGCATCCGTTCGGAGTCTTCACGTGGACTGTACCCTTTCCGACAATTTTAAGAGGCTCATCATCAGCAAGATACACCTCTCCCAAATTGTCGGGAGTATATTGTTTCATCGCTTCAGCATTACCACATGAATGGAACGAAGCTCCAGAATCCAGAACCATGACTCCAACGAACTGCTCACACTTAGGATCAGAAGATCATCTCCAGATGATTCTGCCGTTGCATTGGCAGATGTCTTCTCCTTCTGATCCTTGATCTGCTCCTTCACTGGCTCTTGAAGTGTTTGTACTCCTCACAGTTCCAGCACTTGATCTGACTTCAGTCCTTCTTGCCCTTACTGTTTGACTTGGATTTGGATCTTCATCTATCCCGATTTGACTTGGACTTTGACTTCGTTATGCCCCGGTTCTCTGTACTCAACGCCGATCCAGAAGCCAGGCCTGATTCCTTCCTGTGAATTTCTTCGCTGACCACCAGATTTCTGACTTCATAAGATTTCAGTTTCTCCTTCCCTGCCGAAGCGCTGGCTGTAGTCATCGTTCCGTTCCAGCTTTCCGGGAGAGAAGACAGCAGAATAAGGGCATGAATTTCGTCGTCGAATTTTATCTCAACCACGCTCAACTGTGTGGTGATTAGATTAAACTCGTTAAGATGCTCCACAACTCCCGTACTTTCTGACATCTTTAGGTTAAAAAGATGTCTCATCAGATGAACCTTGTTCGCAACTGATGGTTTCTCGTACGTATCCGATAATATCTGAAACATCTCCTTCGTCGTTTTTGCTTTGACGGTGTGTAGGGCGATGTTTCTGAACAGTGATAATCGAACCACGCTCATCGCCTTGCTGTCCAACAACTTCCAATCGCTCTCCTTCATGTCTTCCGGCTTATCGTCCAGAGGTTGATACAGATCTTTACCGCCAGGTAATCTTCGATCTGCAACTTCCAGAATCTGAAATATGTTCCGTGCATCAACGGTGTCTTCAAATTGTCTGCCATCGTGAGATCACCCTTCGAACCTAGGGCTATGATACCAATTGTTAGGAATTAAACTCACGGACGCGAAGAACAATAACGAAGAACACGCTAAATTTGGTAACCCAGTTCGCCATGAATGACTACGTCTGGGGGCGCTACCAAGCCAGGAATATTATTGCTATTTTCGGATTCACACATGATTACAAGGGAGAGAGCTTGTATTTATAGAGAAGTAAAACCTAACCCCAGGGCAACTAGGATGCATTTCCAAAAATAAATTAAGAAAAGCTTGGTTATACAGTCTCTAACACCTTACATGGCAACCCTCGTTCTCATCTTATTAGCCAAGCTTTTTTTATATACTAAAAACGTAGTTTTGACTTCACGCGCTGAATTGAGAAATTATTAAAATAATTCAAGCTAGGGTAATTTTTTCCGGCGAAATTGGATGAAGTTGGGATATTTTCAGTTAGACTAAAATTTTCTGGTCTTAACTGGTCTATTCTGATTCGGTAAATGTATGGTCTTAATATATTTTATATTTGTCCAAGTTTTGTCTGATCTGAATTGGTCTAGTTTGGTCTAGTTTAGGACTGAGAATAGTCCAAGTAAAATCATTCTTACTGTAGAACACCGTTTTACCTATTTACTTGTAATTTTTTCTCAAATTTATTAATCAAATACATTTTAAATACTCCCTATGTTCTCTAATACTTGTTCCTCTTTCCCTTTTGAGATGTTCTCTAATAGTCTCCCTTTCCATTTTTATAAAGTCTTATCAATAAATATACCTTTATACCCTTATTCCCTTTCCTACTTTTTTTTATTTAAACACAACTCACTACACATTTATCTTACCCCTATTAATTCCTTCTTAAAACTTGTGCCAAAGGCTATACTCCCATCTATTAGAGAACGGAGGGAGTATAATTTTTTCAATAATTCAGCTAATGCAACCACTTCTGCCAGTATTTCATTATTTTAATGTTATCAAACGGGCCTAGTGTATCCAAATAGGGAATTGATTTATGTGCTCCTAGAATTACTAAACCTAACTCATGTAAGACAATTTAATCCTTTTTAATTTTCTTTTACTAGTGATTCTCGTTACATTCTAAATACCTCTAACATTTTTTTAAAATTTCTAAGGTGCAGTTGAAAAGTTTTGCATTGAGAGTAATTTTTAACTTCTTAACGTTCTTTAAATTTAAGTTTTTTTTTAAGTTCATTTTGTTAAATATATTGTGTTCTTACTTAGTTCTATTTCATCAATTTGACGCGAAGTTCAAGATAAAATTATTAGTATTAATATATTTTGAAATGGGAGAAATATTAAAAATAAGACTTTAAACTGCGATTTTGTTTTATATTTGGAATACATGTACCTTTAATTAATTAGTTAATTTATAATGGCTTTTAGTACTCGTAATTTTAAACCATATATGTACTACAAAGAATTCTCAACATATTATTTTTCACTTTTCAAATGATAAAAAATAATAAGAACAAATTCCACTTTTAGTCCTCCGAGTTTTGCACCAATTCCACAATTAGTCCTCGTCTTTCACTTTATCCATTTTTGGTACCTGACTATTGTTTTCTTGACCATATATAGTTCTTTTCCGGTAGTAAAAATGCCCAAAGATGGACCGAAAATGGTCAAGAAAACAGGTACCAAAAATGGATAAAGTGAAAGACGAGAACTAAATATGGAAATGACACAAAACTCGGAGGACCGAAAGTGGAATTAATTCAAATAATAATGTTAAATAACTCTAAAAAGCATTGATATATGCTTAAACTGAAAAAATAGTCCAATTAAAAACATCTTTATTGTTCTTATTAGTATTGCATCCTGAAATTAGAATGCATAGAATGTTTGGATAGATTTGTTCTGATCTAATATGGAGACATGGAGTTGTAAAGATTGGGGATGGTTCACTATTTCGAATTGAACTGAAATTTTATGCTCTAATGTCATTTGATTTGATCTTATCTGATTTTGATTTAATCTTATCTGGTTAACCTATTATGTGAGCATTTTCAGTTCTTTTTGCCAATCAAATTTACCTCATTCAAGTAACATTCAACACCGGACATGTATCATCAAATCATATTGTGAATTTAATAATGGGAAGAAGGGAGCATAAAAAGACACCACATTCGAGAATGAGGTCATTTCCACCCCATAATTTGACATCACATAAGATTGCGAATGTATCTTTGGAGCTAGAAAGTGATACTGTACTGTAGAAAAGTCATCAACATTAAACGGTTAGTTTGATGATTTAATTTTTCCCGAACGGTCGAAACTCCAAACATATCAATATTGGATGCAAGAAATTAAAATCTCGCACAATCTGGATGGACGAGAGCTAGAAAAGTGTAGGGAAATTAAACCCAATAAAATCAATCAGAAATCCATGTTCATCAAATTACTAAGCTGCTCCGGAAAAGGAAATGCTAGCTAGCTAGATGCCTAGAACAGCTGAACACGGACAAAAAACAGATTCAAAAAACACATCAATCCAAGTATTTGAACTGGATCCATCCACCTCTCTGATCCGATGATATATACACACAGAGAATGTGAAGCTAAGCTAGAATAGGCGGAAATTGAATTGAATTGAAGCTTGAATCGCTAGTTCCTCCTTGCTAGTACTGGAGATCTGGAAATGTATGTATGAATTGAATGAATGAATGAATCAATCATGCCAGCAGATTAGCATAACGATGCACCGCCTGATAATAAACAGCCTCCCCTTTTGCTCTTTAATGTGCACTCCGAACCCGCGGCGGCGCCCCCGCCCCTTACCAGAAAACGCCGCCTTCTTATTTATAACCCCACCGCCGCCTTCTCCCGGCCGCATTACACACGAGTCGTCGTCAGAACCGCCGCCGCTCTGCTGCCGCCACCGCCACCGCATGTTCATATGCCCGCACTTAAATTCAATTGTCTGAGCCGCCGCCGTTACGCCGTCTATGAGGTCAATTATTGATCTGATGACCAGCGACGTACTGCAACAACCCATGCAATCCCTCTTCTTATATACCAAGGACTCCGTATATTCCCAAATACTACCTCCGTTCTCTTTTAAATGCAACGTTGGACTTTTTGCACTATTCACATGTTCTACTTTGACTACGTTTTATTCATTAATGTAATAATATATATTTTTGAAAAAAATATTATTAAATTATTCTCATTAAAAATTTTCAAAATTTATTTTTTAAACTTTTTTTACTAATCGGGAATTATATATATTAATGGTCAAAGTTGTGCCTCGACAAATGTGAAATGTTGACTGTTGCATTTATTTAAGAACGGAGGAAGTATATAAGGGGGGCCGGGGAAAAAAGAAACAGAGAAAGACAGGCAATTAATTGATCTAAAGAAATTTAGCTAAATTGAATCAAAATTTCAAAACACAAGCACCATATTTTTTGTATCTTAGTTCCCTTTTTAGTTTGGATATTTTTAGTTTGGATGATATTCATTCTTAGACCAGACTAGACATAAATAGATCAAATCAGACCGCATTTAAACAAAACAGACATACCAAATTTGAATAGTTATAAAATAAACCAGACTTTTACGAGCTAGATTAGTTCAGATCAGACATGAAAATGTTTAGTCAATTTTAAAACATCCTTAGTTATTATCGACTTCTCTAATCAATTTTGATCATTCTTTTTAAATAACATACCTAATATACTTATTAGGAAGTCATAAATTTTATACTTTTGAAATTCGATTTTTAACAAGCTAAAATTCATTTCCATCTCACTTTCATATGCTAAACAATTTCTTATATATAAAGATACTATCTGTAAAAGTTTAGTATCATTGATTGAAAATGTCTAAATTTATTAACTAAAAAGAGACGAATGAAGTATTTATTCCATTACTTTTATGCCCTTGAAAGATAGTGTGTGACTATATACAACCATATTCAAATAAGAGTAGTGCCAAAGTTGGATAGTAAGAAGGTGTGTTTGGAATTGATTCTGCTTATATCTTTTTCTTCTAAAAGTAGATGTTGAATCGGAATCAATTTTTAAGAGGCCGTTTGGTAACACTGCTTTTCGGCTTATCGGGCTTTTCAGCCAACTTTTTCATCAAACACGTAAATTTTACTTTCGTGCGTTGAAATGTGTAATAAGCAGAAAAAGTAAGGTTGGAGTTACTTTTCTGGTTGTATTGGCTGAAGTTACTGTAGATGATCATTTTAGCTATTTTTACATGCAATTTTTTCTTTATTTTATTAGTAAAATATAGTTTTAAAATAATATTTTCTTAAATCGGCAGAATCAGCCAATGCAGCCACTTCAGCCAAAACTTCATAAATTTCAGCAGAATCAGCCAAAACAGCCGATTTTCGTGCTACCAAACGGGCTCTAAGAAGCAATTTCATAAATTTCAGCAGAATCAGCCAAAACTCACTCGACTTAGAAGTACTTTTGCATTTTCATCCTAACATACCAATATTTGCTTACTCTTTCATGTACCAGAAGCAATTTTAAGAAATAGATCCAAACACCCATAAATTAATTCGAAATAAGAAGAAAATATAGTACTAGAACGTTGCATTAGTATAATTAGATGCATGTCAATATGTGATATACCACTTACCATAGGTTTAATCAGGTAGCTAGCTAGCTAGTATAATTGAATTAAAGGAGGGAAAAAGAATAGAATCATGTTAGTTAATTAGTTCTTCATTTAGCTAGTATTAAGAATGAACAGTAGTATACAGGCTGGCTATTAGGCATTTGGTGCCCCATGCCCCATGCCTCCTCCCCACACAGTGTTTGGTCCTTAATTCCATCCATAATTAAGAAGGTAGACACAGTGCGTTTTTCAATTAGGAAGTCGGCCGGCCACATCCCGTTAAACTTTCATTATCCGGGCGGCCCTCATTGTCAAAACCCCAGGAACACACTTAATTGCTACCATTACCCCAACCATTAGCTACTATATCATGAAGCACCGACATGATCACACAAGGTAAATGAATCATCCCCACCCTCCCTTCCACTTCGACCAGACTTGGCTTAAACAAATTTGGGATAAGATTAAACTAAAACAAACCAAATTGAAAAGTTTCAGTACAATTAAAACCACTTTCCAAATGAATAAGTCAGTAACCCCATGCCCGTTTCAACTTATCAATCATTTTTTTTTAACCAAATACAAAGTTTTTGATTTTGCATGTTGAATTATGTAATGATGAAAATAAGTAAGAAAATAAGTAAGATTAATGTTACTTTTGTTATTGAAGTTATTGTAGATAACCACTTTACTTATTTTTCATATAATTCTTTCTTGATTTTATTAATACAATATATATATCAAATGTATTTTTTTGCATAATTCATCAGATTCAATATATTCAATTATTTCAGCCAAAATTTCATTAATTTCGAGTTTTCAACATATACCGACGATTTAATCAATTTCACTATTACGAAACCATTTTAAATAAAGATGCAACTACTCACCAGACCGGCCATTATATTGAAAGTGTGGAAGACATCTTAATTTGTGTATTTATTTATGGTACAGATCTAATACTGGATTCCTAGTGTTTGCATATCCGTAGATCGAGTAGGTCTTGCATGAGACAACATTCGAGTCAATTCGTACGTACGAGATAAAAGTGATATACTGATATGGAGTACATATTTTCAATAACGCCATGTTTTGATCTACCAACACCCTAAGCAATTCAAAGGGAAAAAGTAAATGTTAATAGGAAATAGTAATTTCCCGATGTTTAGTTCACTGATTTTGCCTTATGTTATGGGATTGTTAATAATTTCATAATGTTTAGTTCACTCATATGATTTTGCCTTATGTTATCTGAATGCTTTTTGCTCCTTATTTCTATCATTAATAAATAAATGTATTTACTCTAAATAAATTTTCATTGATTTTGCATCGGAAAATTCATATCAAAATGAAATAGAGTAAGTTTTAAACTTTTTTTTACTTTTCTAGCTTCTTAGTGTTTATACATCCTATATTCCTTTTTATTAGTCGTAACATGTAGAATTGTACACTATTTACATGCTCTACTTTGACTACATTTCTTTTATTAATGTATGAGATTTTTTGAAAAAATATTGGATTTATCTCATTATAACTTTTCAAATTCTGATCTTTTGTTTTTTATACTAATATACAATTAAATATATTGGCGATCAATATTGTGTGTCGACGAACGTCAAATTAAGATGGTTACATCTGACAAGAAACAGTGGAAGTACGTATAATATTAGAACAGTATTAAAAACAAAAAGAATCTGATCACATAATAAACATTAATTAATCAAGTTTCAAATTGTACTTTTATTACTTTCGTTGTGGATTAATTCTTCTAAACTTTCCTCTTCCCTTTCTTTCTATGGCATTTTCGACCACAAAACAGACCCTTAAACCAACCAATGATAGCCCCTCCCTCCTACATTTGCATTTTTACTTGTATGAAAAATAACTACAAAATGACAAATTTACGGTTGGCAGAGGTCTTTTATTTCATACTCCAATCATGATACATATGAATTAGGGCGGGCTGAAGCACGTGTAACTTGTTTTTCTTCAACTTTGTAGTGTAATTTTTTCACTTTTCATATTTAGTCTACTCCGCTTACATTTAAACCCAATATAGTTGCTCTTTAGCCCGGGCATCTGAGATTACTAGATTGATACAGGCCAAAGCTGTATTCCAAGATGACATGCTTCAAAGTTTAAACTAGGAGCAGTAGTAGTGTAGGACGTAACGATTGTATTAAATAACTGGGCACGTGAAGTAGGAAAAAAGCACGTTACATAACTCCCAGTCCAATGAAGTACAGAGAATCTGCTTAAGTAATAAATGAGTAATTAAACGCATCTGAATTTGAAATCCAAGGATGACTATTGCATTATACACAACTCAATTATGAAGCTAGCTAGCGGGTCCGGTCTAGACTTTTTATTTTTATTTTCCATACACATAGGTTGTTGGTGTAATATAATAGAAGCTGCCAAACAAGCTAGCAACAAAAATTATTAGAGAGCATGTGAAGATCACAAGACATATGTATGGTCTGTGTCTGCAGTTGGCCAAACAACCTTTGTTCATTATATTCTTCTAACCCACACCCTCGTATTTGAAGAGAATTAACTACTTTTGTCTATCTATCACTCCCCATAGGCATGTGCCCCATCCGGTGTGGTCCCGGTTCTGGGGTGAGAGCGGTCGGTCGTCTTTGCCCAAAAAAGAGAGACTCGAGACTGGCCAAACATCAAGAGATTCCGGTTCAGGTCTGGCAGACGTACCGACCCGCCTAATCCCAGTCTCGGTTTCAGACAAAATAGAAAAAACAAAGGCTAAAAGGTCAAATAGGCCCTTGAACTAGCTTAAAGTGTTCAATTAGCCCCTTAAAAAGAAGGTTCTGCCCGACCGTCGCCAATTGGGATGGTTCCCGGTGGAATTTTTTGATGAAATTTTTTGAGCATATTCTTCATTAAGTCTAGTTTACGCATACCAAATTTCAGCTAAAACTTCAACCGGGAAGGCAGTTAAATGATTTTCCGAAATGTACTGCGCTGTTTAACTGCGCAGTCGTCTTCAAAAAAATCATTTGATTGCCTTCCCGGTTGAATTTTTAGCTGAAATTTGGTATGGGTAAACTAGACTTAATGAAGAAGATGCTCAAAAAAATTCATCAAAAAATTCCACCGAGAACCTCCCCAATTGGTGACGGCCGAGCATAACCTCCTTTTTAAGGGGCTAATTGAACATTTTAAACTAGTTCAAGGGCCTATTTGACCCTTTAGCCAAAAACAAAATGGATGGAGATTGGACCAATCCAGGTCAGAAAAATGGTACCTCGATCCAAATAACACGGCCCGAGAGGAAGGGGTAGGGGTAGGCACGGGTCGGGAAGGTCCAGGATTAGTTTATCCCGGTCCCGACCTAATTACTAATAACGGTACGGGACGAGAAATGCCTTTGTCCTAGTCTTGT